CTACGAGATACCAAATTGGAAACGGAGAGAGTTCTTAGAACTCTAAATTCACCGAGAACAAGAAAAGAGAGCTAAACGATAAATGCATGATCATTGACCGAAGCAAAGAGGTAAGAAAATGAGTAGAAACTTACTTGCTTTAAAACAGAAATTGATCGGTTGGATTTGTAGGCCTTGACTTTGTGGTCGTCTAGGCACCTCCTGATCGTCAAACAGATGACTTAGAAGTTAAAACATTTAGAGAGAAGGTAGAAAACTCTAGAAAAATGGTTTCTAGAGGGATGATGTGTTTTAAAATAATGAAATTCGTTTATAACAAAACTATTTATAACTAAACCATTTAATATTAAAATAATCGAATCTTACTATTTTTAAACTATCATCGTATCTAAAATACCATTCTCTTGGATTTTATATTAATAAATATTTTACATGTGGATCTTGTCTTGTTACTATCATAAAAAATATTCAATAAGAATCATTAAGTTACTTACTTCAAATCACATGAGAACATCTTTATTTGAAATTACAAATATTTTTTCACATTGGTATTTACAAAATGAATTTAAGAAATAACTATAAAAGATAAATATTTAAAAGTTTTACATTATTTTTAATAATATTATAACGTAAAAAAATCTTAAATTAAACTTATATTGTATGTAAATATTAATTATATTTCATCATTAATCCAAAAAGCAGTTTATTAAGTAGATAATTATAATTAAAATTTAAAATATTGACTATTATAAATTTCTGAAATCTAAATTTATTAATTTATAATGTTTAATTTTACATTAATGTTCTTTTGTTAACGCAATCAATATATTTAATATTTTAACTTACAGAAACTATTTTTTAGACAATATTTCACAGTTTATGAAATAATATTGATTACTAATTTATAGATATAAATATTTGATAATAGTTTAATATATTTTTCACTAGAAGAAAAATCATTAAAAGAATTGTAATGAAGTAAATATATATTAAAATTTATTTAATGACTAATCTCTTTCTGCTCATATATTAAAAGTCATTTAATAAATAACGTTTAATATATATATATATATATATATATATATATATATATATATATAGTTATAGATAAGGGATTTAAATTGTTGTAATTTAAATTTGAAATTTATCTACACTTAGAATTAAAAAAAAATATTAAAAATCTTAAAAATAAAAACGTAAATAATTTAATACATATTTTTTTATTAACTTTTAAATTAATTTTTTCTGGTTTAATAAAATTTAAAATTTAAAAGTAATAATTATCTTTTAACACCTTAGTCACATAGTTCTTGTTCACTTAAATGGATTTGGAGAAGAGTGATTAAATGAATTTGAGAGGATTTCAAGATAAATTTTTTGTTGTTTATTTGAGTAGATTTTGGAGGTCAGAAAGAATAAATTTCGAAATAATTTTTTTTAATATGTGACATCAATCAAATTCTATACTAATTCTCGTAAATATATCGAGTCTCACATTACATATTTGTGAGAGTTTAATACAAGTTTAATAAATTTGTCTAAGATAAATGTTAAACAATTTTAACACCTAAATTTATGCTTAACTCAACTTTATAATCTCAAATTGTCTGGTAAAATTTATATTTCATTTATATTTTATATTTCAACTATATTTCTATTAAAGATATATAAAATCTCTAACATAATATTTTTTTTCTTAATATTATTTTGATTTACAAAATTCCGTAACTTAAAACTTTGAGTTTAGTTTCACTTCCGTATTTTGATCTAATAATATTATTTTGATGTAAACATATTCCTAGTTATTTAGTAATTAATTATATAATATTTAAAAGTCGAATTTTTTGTAATGTAAAAGTTATTGGTATACTTTTCCAATAAAATGTAAATATATTATTTATCGTTTGAATATACTAATGTGAAAGGTTTAAAAAATGAACCAATCTTATCTAAATTCATGCAAATAATTATTATATTTTCTTTATGAACAAGCTTTTAAAAACTCCTTTTCCAAAAGAGTTATAACTTGACAAGAATATAGAATTTAATAATAAGAAGTAATTTTAAGAATAGTTTCTAAAAGTGATTGTAAAGAAACATTAATTCATTTATATTTTTTAAATCTCTAAAACTAAAACTAAATTATTTTGCATTCGAATAAACTTTTTTTTCTTTTAAAACAAACACGCCCTTAATCGTATTCACAATACACATAATAAAAATCTTAAATAGTCAATCGATTGCCTTTAATTTTAGTGAAATTGCAAAAATTTAGCGTTACGGAAGTATTGTATTGTTGTTTAGATTTTCTTCAACGTGACAAGCTCAATAAAATTTAAAGAGACATATATCCCAAGGAAATTAAATCAAAACTTTACTAATTATGCCAGAAAGAACATTATTTTAAATATAGATATAAATAATGAGCATTTTAGATTAATTTATTATTATTTTTTGTATAGAATAACTTATAAAATAGTTTAACCATCATAATAGCATTTAATAAAATATCTTAAAATAATTTATTTTAAAAACTTCTAACTCTAAATAGATTATAATATATAATTTATTTAATTTTATGTCAATAATAACTTTTATATTTTAATAAACTTTTTTTTACTTATTATTGTCTATTTTAATTAAAAATTACTTTTCTCCCTTTTCTCTCAACATTATCTCTTAGGAGATACTGCATCATTATCATATTCATCATCTTATTATTATTAGATAAATACAAATATTTTCTCAATAATTAATCTCTGATATTATATGTGCTAGTCATTTTAGGGTTACTTTATTTACTTACTCTGATAATGTCATTCACGATTTTTTTTATTAACAATGAGAACTACCATGAATACGTTCTAGAAAGCATACATTAAACAAATTATGGTATAATTGGGAACTAAAATAATAAATTCATACATATAACATTAAATTAACTAAAGATCTATTCTTGAAAAGTATATAATTGATAATGATGAGACGAGAGAGATGAAGAAAACAAGAGCAAACGGCGTAAAGCATGAAATAATTTAGCAAAACGCGTAAATCATGATAAGAAATGGAAAAAACAAAACTTGCTAAATGCAATAAATGCTAAAGAACGAAATTTTCAAAATATAAAACACTTAGCCGTTTAAATTGTTTCAATTTTCATTAGATAAGTTTGATGTGAGTGTAAAAGTAATATTCTCTCCCTTAGCCTCATCAATCAGTTTATATAAATACAAATAGTTTTTAATCCAATGATAATCTATCACAATAAATAAAATACAAGTAAAAGAGTTAAAATTCCAGAATTTGAATAGACCTTTAAGAGAAACCAAACCTAATATAATAAAAGTAATTATTGTAGTAAATAAATACCAATTGTACTTAAAATTGTATAATCTTCCATGTTACTTTGATCCTTGTTGTAATATATTGATACCTGTTGTAAAATGGTGAGGTGAATGATTAGGCCAAACGTAGTTTGTAGAGAATACAATAAGTATGAGTATAATTTATTAAATAAATTATTTCAGAATAATAATTAATTAAATAATATGGTTGTAAAATATGTACTTACAAAATCGACTATATCTTGTGAAAAGATTTTAATTTCACTGACTTCTTCCATCCTTGGTATGTTACTATCATTCTCACTGAATTAGAATTAATCCTATAATACGATAACATATTTTATTTTAACTCTTATGTATTTGAAATAGTACAAATTTTTTAATATTTAGGAGGATAAAATTATTATATTGGTTAATTATTACAACAAGTTTACTAATACTGGTTGGATCGGATTTCATGATTGAATCAGGTCTTAACTGGTTCAACGAGGGTCCCTATAAAATATTTATTATGATTTTTCATAACATTTGAAACGTGATTACTGATTTTTTATTATTAGCCTGTTAATTAATGTTTGAAACACTGATTTTAATAAGTTGTTTTTATAATTTACGTGAAAAGGTTAGGAGTATCGTTCTTTCTCGTTACTTGTGAGATTCTCGTTGTGCATCAGCTAAAGTTTGAGCTTTAAAGAGAGTGTAGGCTAATTTATGGGTTTAATTTGGTTCCCGCTTGGGGTGTGGCTTCTGGGTACCAACTGAGAGTCATGCGTGGAGCCCATACCAAAAATATCCTTTTTGGAATTTCATCTTAAGCAGCTTTGAAGTTCAAAAGGCGTTATATAAAATTATAATCCTTGCATGCGCAATGAGATTGTATTTATACTTTATACTTTTACATATATATGGGTTCTTAATATAATGTGTATGGTTCTTGACCCTTGGAGAGTGTAGAGACTGCGGTGGGTTCTTCTTTTAAGATACGGTAGCCAGGGAATTTTTTAAACACATTTTAGTTTTGGCACTACTTCAAACAAAGAACAAGAATAAGAAATAATACAGTTATGTAGCAGAAAGCAATGTCTTGTTAGGCTCTTCTTTTTACGTGCTTAGTTTCTTTCCCTCTTCATATTGCACATGCTATTACTATTCACATAAACAGAAACAAGTGGCAAAGTTATGCAATTTGAATCACCATTTTAATAAATCTCTATTTCAAATGATCAGTAGCTTCAAATTTTATATAAAAATGTTTCTCTCTATTTATCATAATATTAAGAATGAATTTATAAGAAAATATTTTAAAATAATATTAATAATGAATTTATAAGAAAATATTTTAAAATGTAAAATACCATTATATTATTGTAAAACATAATTGCATTGAATTGAGCTAAAATGAAATTAGACTTTCTTAACTTTCATCAAATAGCGCGTATATTTTGTCTACTAAAGCAACTATTTCTTTGACGTATTTAATGACCCCTAATAACTTGGTTTGTACTCTAACGCACATTCGTATCTTCAATATACATTTCAGAGCGAAGATAAAAGCACCGAATAAACTTTTTATCACTAGATTAATTCTTAATCAAGGTTCAATATAATCGATTAGATGATGGACACAGACGATAAACAGCTAGAAGTGGATCTCAATTTCAAGCCTAGAAAAATAAGATATTAGATTCACTGTTCTATTTTTTCTATTTTCTATTACGAATTCCGAACTCCATTTCGGGGAGGAAATTCGTGGTGTAGCTGAATTTAGGGTGATTGTTACAGATAGATTACATGTAACGTGACCATGCTACACATTATGTGCGCAATCATCTGAGATAACGACATCAAACTAAATCAAAATTGCATATTACATTCTTGTCGAGACCCACATCTCGCGTGCCGCATCAATTATCAATTTCTAATTTTCTTCTTTCCTCTCTTCTTTGCACTAGTTTCTGGCCCTTCAGCCTCCTCAGCCTTCTGCTCAGCTTCTAATAGAGCCAGCTGCAGTGTCCAAAGAAAATCATTTTTAGGGGCAAGTTTGACGAAATACTCAACAAAAACGAGGGTAGATGTTTGTGAAACAAAATATTACCTCGTCAAGAATAGGTTTTAGCTCCCTGTACCGTGCTTCAGCGAGATCAAAACCATCCTTGCGGAGTTCCTATTACAGCAGAATTTTACGACTTAGACATAAGGCATTCATCAGTATACATATGTATTTGTTTGTATATATGAGAAAGAACATGAGTAGGGGGAGAAACTTAAATTAGAGCCAGATGAATATCAAAATAATTATATTCCCGTTCATTTCAAACTGGAAAATTACAATATTAGGGTGTACTTGTTCAAGAACTAAAAATGAAGCAGGGCAGATTTCGAACATAATTAGCACTGCAGTTTCATGGTACAACTCATTTACATTCCGTCTCACAAAATCTGGACCCACAGAATGAATTTGATGTTACCCTTCTCATTTATATTGTGTTTTCACAATCCTCCGAATTTTTCCTCCACTAAAACCTGCACAGCCTTGGTCCTTCCGGTGTCTAGTTTACCTCTTTCCAGGAGTTTACATTCAATCCCAGATTTGACCAAATTATGAAATATTGCAAATTTAAAAGTATTATTAAAATTCTTATCATGCAAAATCTGTTATAAAAATGCAAACCAAGAGAGTAAAACCACAAAAAATGTAAAAAAAAAAGCAATAAAATGGATTTTGTTCCGCAAAATGGATTGCTTGTACTGAGTGCAAATGAATGATGAGCTCAACAAATACCTGGAAACTCTAAGAAAATCCTCATGTCCAAAATAATGTACTTTTCCAACGAAGTTGTGCATTTTACAAATCAACTATCATTATTTTGTGTTTTGTCATCCAAGTTTTTCTGTACTTGCATTTTACTGTTATTTATCAAATTTTGTGCATTTTACCAATCCTTTAAATGTCTAATGGTGTGCAATCGAGTCATGGAAAAAAAAAGGCTTTTAAAAAGTGAAATAACTTCATTTTGAAAAAAGTGGTAAAAAATGACGTTATGTTTTTTCTAACCTTTTTTCTGACACATCAGCACATGACTGTACAATTAAGGATTGAAAAAATGTGTGGAAAAAGAAAAATATGACGGTAAACATATGCATATTGCCTATTCATGTGAACAAATGCATGAATATCCAAACTAAGG